AATTTTAAGCACTGCTTTCTTTAAACATCTATAACTACCATATAAAGTCTAGCATAAATCATAAGCAAATCTAAATACATTTAGTTAAACAAGTTATAGTCCCTCCAAAACACAAATTTAAACAATCAGAACTTGAAACATTAGAACAAACAAATTATAGTCAATCAAAAACACAAATCTAAACATTACTTAAAACTTTAAACATTAAAAACCCCACCCAAACACTAAACACATTGTAACATACTCCAATCCTTCTAATATCATAAATATTTTTATCATTTTCATAAGCTCCCCCAAAACACAAATTTATACATTACTTAAAACTTAAAAAAAGAGAAAAAAAAAAACAAAACACCTTTATACTCATTTAAATCTTATCAGATTCCATCCAAAGTAGACAGTTTATAGCAAATTCCACCCAAAAACACTATAGCAAATTCCATCCACCATAAACACAATAGATATTCAAATCTTCATCAATAACAAGTTGCAACCACAAAAAACCCAGTCCTTATCAATCTCAATTGTCCATTTTCATTCTCCATTCATTATCATACTGATACTATTATTGTCAGCCTCGATTATCCATTTTCGTTATAAAGCTTAAAACAAATGCTTTAGGATCTGTCCTCAAAAGCTGCTCCAAATTTTCTGAGTCTCCCAACGACTCAGAAGCCAGTACATGTGGGGATTCCTTAAGCTCCTTATTCTGTTGGTCTTTTTCTTTACAATTATATGTTGCACAGATTTTCCTCTGCCCCTTCCTCTCAACTTGTTGACGCCCCTCAGGCTGAAATTTCCCCTTTTTCATCTCAGATGACCCTTCCATCCTTGAAAGTTGCTCCAAAGGATTTATAGGTCTTGCTTCTCCCGCAGATTCAGCAATCACTAGGTGTGAAATTTCATTACTCTTCTTCAGTTGCTGCTTTTCTTTACAGTTTTGTGCTACACAAGTTGTCTCCTGCTCCTCAATCTGAACATGTTGAGATCTCTTAAACAGGGGTTGCCCAATTTTAGAGTCTTCAAACTGTAATTCTACATCCATTTCTTCCAAAGTCTTGAACTTAATAGATGGAGATGAACATGCCCCCAATACTGAAGTATAAAAATCTTTTGCTTGAGAAACAGTATTAAGTCTGTAACATATTCCCAGGTAATTCACCACCATTCCAATCGGAACATCCCATCTAAACGAAATTCGTCTCATTTTAAGTTCATTTGCTAAAAAGGCAAACTCCTTTCTTCTTCTTAAAATTTTAGATGGGATCTCCTTTAAAATTATAACATCTTGTGAAGCAATTTGAAATCTCTTCTTATAAAAAGCTTGTATAATTTCATTGCGTAAAGATTTCTTCCCAAAGTAAATTACCACATCTCTTGGCAAATTCTTTTGTACTGCCACCGCAGAATTAACTCTAAATAGTTTTTCAATTTCACTAAGTATTCCTTCTTTTTCTTTATTCAAAATTACAGCAAAGTCTTTTGCAACCATCTCTTTCAAATCTTCCTGCAAGGACTCTTCCAAGCCCCTAATTCTTAAGGCGTATTCCATTTGACCATATTGAAGCATAAGAATCTCGTTTTCCATTTCTTTTTCCATACTTTCAATTTTCCCCTCCATTAATTCCACTTTTTCAGCTACTTCTTCCACATGGGAATTCAACTTTTCAAGAACAGAAGCAACTCCTTTTAGAGCCAAAACTATGTCTTGCCTCAAAATCTTATTATTTTCTTCCAAAATCTTTTTCATTTCTGCCCTAATTTGAATTGTAAAATTTCCCATCATTTGTTGCATATCCTTCACAGTTGTTGGCTGGGCCACAGAAGATTTAGGAACTGTGAAATTCACTGGACGCTTTGGAGCCATCTTAAAAAAAAAAAAACTTTACTCCTTCTTAAAAATTACAAAAATTCCTTCAAAAGAAAATCATAACTCCCTCAAAGGAAAATCTTTAAAATAATGAGAAAAATAAGGACTATTGTCAGCTTTTCATCCAAATACAAATGGAGCGGCTAAGAAAGTGAACTCAATGGTGGAACAATACATTAGATGCTATGTTGCTTACCAACAGACCTGGGCTGACCTCCCTTTTGCTGAAGTAGCTTATAATAACACCGTGCATAGCAGCACTGGACTTACTTCTTTTAAAATAGCTACTGGTCGAGAATTCATTCTTATGCCTAAGTACCCGCAGGAGCCTCCTATCTCTCAAACCCTAGATCAGTGGGTGACCTCCTGGAAAACTGTTTGGGACAATGTAAAACAAGCTTTATTGAAAACCTCAAAAATTTACAAAGAGTAGGCAGACAAGAAATGGGCTCCTCAGAAGCCATTTCATATTGGGGAGAAAGTCTATCACTCTACAAAGTATTTAAGACTCAAATTGCCAAGTAAAAAATTAGGACCAAAATTCCTTGGTTCCTTCCCCATAGTTTGAATTATAAACTCTGTTAAGGTAGAATTAAAACTCCCTCGTCTCTTGGGAAAGGTCCACCCTGTTTTACGCTGCAGTTTACTAAAACCTGTCAGGGAATCCTCCTTAAGACCTGTTCCCAAAAAAGCACCTGGTCCCCTTTTGGTAGAGGGAGAGACCCATTATGAAATAAAACGAATTCTTGATTCTAGGTCGTGCAAAGGAAAATTACAGTATTTAGTACAGTGGAAGGGATACCCATTATCAGAAGCTACTTGGGTAAAAAGTACTGACATCAAGGCAGATAGGCTAATATGTAGATAAACACCCTCATAAGCCTCGGGAAGATTCCTAACTCTAACTTTTCTTCATCTGCAGGATTTGTTCTCTCTCTAGGAGATCCAACTGTCAACACTGCCATGATCTTAACTGAAGCCATTTTTTCTTTGTTTTCAGTTGCCACAGTACTGGGAGGGGGGATGAGTGGTTTTAAGATTAAACTAAACAATAATTCATCCCGTGGGAACCAAGGTCATAGCTGCCTGACTTTTGGCAGAATGAGCCTTCCATTAGAAAGCCTGCCAAAGTGTTCTATTGGGGAACATGGATAATTACATAGTGCTGGGGTGGGAAGTTCAACTTTGTAACATTGTAATGCTTGGGAGGGAACTCCAGACTTGGTTTCACTTTTGATTGTGCTGATACTTTGTAGCCAATAAACATGTTCTTTAAGGAAACCTCTGGCCTTGGAGTACTGCTTTTACTAGTCTCATCTATCGGAACCATGACATACTGTTTTTGAGCCAGGTTTCACCTAATCTGTACTTGTATCTTTGGTTTTTCCTGCCTGAGTGTAAAACCTTGCTTTTCTCCACATTAACTTTCATTTTGTTGGATAGGGCCCTTTGTTTAAGTCTATCAAGATCTTTTTGGATCCTGAGCTTTTCTTCAGGTACTCCTGCCAGCTTAGTGTCATCTGCAAATTTGATGAGTTCTCCTTCTGTTCTAAATCATTTATGAAGATATTAAAGAGTACTGAGACTAAAATGGAACCTTATGGTACTCCACTGCTTACTTCCCTGCATGTAGATTTAGTACCATTAAGAACTACTTGTTGAGTACATTTGTCAGCCAGTTACAAATCCATCTGGTGGTGATGCTGTCTATCCCAAATTTTTCTAGCTTAGCAATAAATAGGTTGCCTTACTAAAATCTAGATATATTATTAAATCTAGGTACATTATTTTCAGTCTCTGATTTACCACCAGCTTATCAAGTACTTAAGAGTTGAGGGCTTGACAGTACAAGCAAACAACAGCCAACGATTTAATAGCAAGCCATCAACATCCCAATCAATATATAAAAATGATATACAACAAGCACCATACAAATACCACACACAGAACACCCCAAAGCATACACTCTACTAAACAGAAGTTCCCTGAGGATGGGCTCCAGCATGAATTCCAAAGCTCAGAAGTCAAAAACTCTAGTTCCGGTCATTGACCAAGATTGGATCCTGCAACATTATCCTGGGACACATATATTTGCCTTCATTCGTGAGCTATTTTTCTTGTTTAGCAGCAAATGTTGTTTAGCATTAAATGTGAAGTAGCGGGGCACTTAGTCCTTCTGGTCTACAATGAGTGGGCACATGTTTGAGATAGAAATTTGGCCTGCAAGTTGCAGTCCTGAAGCTCTCAAAATGTTCAAGCAATTGTATATGCACAGGTAAGAAGATTTATGGTAGATAATAGGACATTGAACACACAAGAACAATAATGTGAAGCAAGTTGGGACAAGACAGATACTGGCCTTCATGCCTATAGGAGGACTAGAACTCAGAATCTCTCCATTTTTAGCCTGTTACTTTAACATTATACCAAATGAACATGTAATGGCTAAAATGTATATAATTTTCTTGAAATTTGAAATGGAAGAACAGATTGAAAGAATATATGATAAAATGGGCTAGGAACTTTGCACATAATTGATGCAACAGTGGGAAGGACTGAAATTCACATTAGGTTTATCATTTAATAGAAATTTTTATACTTTCATTATATGACTTAATGTTAGCATATGACTCCAGAAAATATGTCTAAAGGTCCTTCAAATCTATGTTGGAAATGTGGACAAAACCAAGAGTCATTTTATCATGCCTGGTGGACTTGGAAAAAAAACCAGAAAATTTTTGTTTTAAAAACACAAAGATACAAAGAATTTTAAATATCAATATTTGATTGAAACCAGAACTGGATAGAAAATTAGAAAAGAGTTGTGGAACATTGTTTTTTATGTGATAACTGCTGCAAATTTTTACATGCACAAAAACACAAAGATTCTGAAATACCCACAATGCAGCTCAATGAAGAGTATATATTGCTTCAACCTCTTATTTCTTCCACCACAATAACCATGTGAATTGGGTTGTCTTAGAGGAAGTAAGCAAACCCAGCAAACCCAGTCACCCAAGGAGTGTTTGTATCTAGAATAGAGTAAAAGCTCAGTTCCTAGTCCAAGACCTTAATCCCTCCACCCCTCTGACTCTCTTTATGCAAAGGTAATCCTTTTATTCCAATACAGGCGAGAGCTTTCTCCTTTCGGAATCAGAGTCAGCATCATTGAGCCTGGAGGCTTTGCCACAAATATGCTCAATAACCCGGAACAGCACTTACAGGGTGTGTTCAGCCGAATGCCTCCACACGTCAAAGAATATTATGGACAGCCATACCTGGATGCTTGTGAGTAAAAGGGGAACCCTAGAAAGACTTTTGTCTGCATATGAGTTATCTAGAAACAGCAGGGGCAGGAATCATAAAGGTAACCAAAGCCAACAGAGACATTTGGCTACTTGAAGTAAATCAGTAACAGTTGCCCTTCATGTCCTTATTTGGAGTGAAGATGCTAACTAGTCAAGTTATTTTCCCACATCAGATAGAAAACCCCATGTTTCTCCATCTTGGGGTATTACAAATAAAATAACACAATAAATAACCACTGAATGGCTTGTCAACAACAACACTTTCAAAATGCTTAATTCATTCTGCTTGAAGTGACTATCTCAGTTCACCTCATGACAGGCCCTGGCTTTGAGTGGAGAGTCCCTACCAATACACCCTGGGGTGTATGAGGTGTTCAGGGAGGGGTAGTACCTCTGGTGTAGGGCATGTCGTGCCTTTTAGGGCAGCTCATACACCTGACATTCAGCTCTCACCTGTGGCTCCTAGTAGCTATAACATGCACAGCGGCCGTACCCCGGGCAACAGCTTCGACAGGCTGGCCAAACCAGGTTGAGAATAGCCGTTGTGTCTTCAACACTCGGTGAGCAAAGGATTTGTCTATCCCAAGCATGTGAAGACAGACTCTGGTGGAGTGAGCAGATGAGATCTATTAAAATAGAACCAAACAATGAAGGCAGTTTCTGCAAGCGACGTGGTATGCTGAGAGCACGGCAAGACACGAAAGATGCCCTGGTCAACCACTGCACCCAGCCCATCTCCAATTGTCTCGACTTTTGTCCTGCCATTGGAATAAGATGGAATCTGGGAAGAGAGAGTGAGGCTGACTATGCGCACCTCTCCCTCACTTAAATCCAATCCATGTGCAAGTCTTGACATCTTGACTTTCCCTACCAATCCCAAAGCCATTCCACTTTTGAAGCATCACATTTTCAATTAGCTCTTTGGGCTGAGAACTGAAGAGAACCTTTTATATTGCTCTTCATTGTTCACATGCAACAAGGGTACTTGACACCTTATCTCCCACTATACCTTTCTTCCAGAATAGAGAGTTGGAATACTCATATTTTTTATATAAAATATAGCATAGAAACTTCTATAGAAAGATAATCCATTGACTGATTTTTTGCTTCATATTTCTTAGATCACAAATATATCTGCTGTATCGGGAAGATTAGCAGCAAGAACTTCTGCTTGGTCACCAATTGCATAGAACATGCTTTGACGTCTTGCTATCCTCGTACCCGTTACTCTGCCGGCTGGGATGCAAAATTCTTCTTCCTGCCTATCTCTTATTTGCCAACTGTAATAACAGATTACATATTGAGGATTTTTCTTCCAAAGCCAGCACAAGCAATCTAGATTCCATTACAGAAAATATATTACAGTCGTTCAAATGAGCAAACAAACTGATTTCAGTTGTAGTAAAAACTGGTAAGGTCATTTCACCAATGCAAGAATAATCCATATTTTCAGCCCCATTGTTTAAGAACTAAAAAGTCTTCAAACTTTCTAGTAAAGGAAAGATTTGCAAAAAAATGTTTCTTTGTTTATTCTACTTAAAACATAGGAATATCTAATATGCTTTCATTTGGATTTCTGGACGGAGTGCAGGAGTTGGAATAGATGGCCTAAATGGCCCATTGATTCTAGGAAGGTAGGTACATTTGCAATAATATTCCAGACTGTTACATCATCAACAAGGCCAGGAACCTCCTGAGAAAACAAGTCCATTTGTCCAGAAGCCAAGTGGGGTGTAGTAAGATAGCCTTAGCAAGGAAGAAAGCATGGGCCAGGCAGAGGCTGCAGGACAGCAGTTCAATGGCTAAATGAGTCTGCCAAACCATTTGGGCTAGAGTCAGTTTTACAGTTCTGAATGACTTTGGCAACATTTTCTTCCCCCTGAGGGCCACACAGTATTGACTTTTTAATACTTATATAGGGATTGTACTTCCGTTTGGCCAACCTATTTTCTTGGATCTCTTCAACCTCCATGGCCTGCCATGGGAACGGTGAATCCAGAAATTTTGTAAAATCTCCTAACTGTATTCGCAACGGAAGAAAGATCAAAGAAGAACTTTATGTAGGCTTTTTCTCTAATTTGGCCCTTTGGACGGACATCCAAAAGGCTTATGGCCTCTGGGCCAAAACTCCAAAAGTTTGTCCAATTATAAATTTAAAACCCCGATCTTGGAAAATCAAAGTTTAGGAAGAGGAAGAATTTCCTCCACCTTACCATCACCCTCTTTCTCCTCGTAAGACAGATGGAAAAATACTATAGGAAAATAATTTTAAATAGCAGACATTATGTGTTACAAGCTTTAGACAAAGACTAGGAAGTGGCTGGGTGTGATGACCTGTGTGAAACCCTGTTAGCAAACATATTACAAGAAATGCCAACTGAAAGTCACAGATGGTGTAAGATAATACCCGTGTAAGGCAATGTGGTAAGATAGCCTATTCTATGAACTTCTCCTTTTCCTTATGTGCACGCTAGATATAAACTTCTCCCTTTTACTGTGTTAAAAGTAGATAAGAGTCACCCCTTGGCAAAGTGGTGTTGACAACCTGTATAAAAAGCAATGCCCTGGGAGTAGCCCGGGGTTCAGAATTTGTCATTCTAATGCTCTGAACCTTTGCACAAATAAACCTGTTTTCTCCAACCCTTCGTGGTCTTATCATCTGAATTAATAAGAAGATTTCTACTACAATTATCTGGCGAGCCAGGCAGGAGATAAGGAGTCTTGGGGCTCTCTGGAGGGCCCACCCCAGTGCCAGGGGTCTGTAGTGTTAGGGGGAACATTGCAGGCACCATCGGACCTTTTACTCTGAGGGGCTTCCCTGTGGCGCAGAGCTCCTGCAGTGGTGGTTGGCATCTCCAAGAACCACAGGTGTAGGGAAAGGAGACCAGGCAACTTTCCAGCTGGCCAGAGGACGGGAGATTCACCTGCAGGCAAGTATTGGATGGGGACAAATCCCTCCCTGTAAGCAGGGACGGAGGAGAGGACTGATCACCCTCTCTTTGAAATAAGGTGGGAGGCCTGTTGTGAGTGCTTGATGTGAAAGGCTACTATGGTTCCCAAAGGTGACTGTGAGTGTCCAGCACCCTGGGCCAGTAGAGAATAAGTGGCGTTTGCAGTTCCCATTGGAGACCATGATCTTCTGGCTCCCTGGGTCGAGCGTGCACAAGTGTAACCCCCCCAGTGTCATTCCGAGTGGAAGGACCCCTTACCTTCCTCTCATCCCTTTTTCCTTGGTTGTCTTGTCTGGTGACCTGGGAGGGTCATGTGGGTTGGTGAAAGTGTGCCCCTTACTCCGTTGGGGTATATGTTAAGGCATTTTAGTTCTGCCTATGGGACCCAGGATTATGGTATTAAGTGGAGCAGGCACTTAATGTAGGCTTTAATGTAGGCTGGCCTGACACGGGGACATTAGACCCCTCTATTGCTTTAAAAGTACATCAGCTAGTGTTCCACCCCACGTTAGAACACTCAGACCAAGCCCCCTATATCGATGTCTGGCTAGGCTTGCTGCAAAGACCTCCACCGTGGATTCAGAAATGCAAAATAGAACAGTGTAGACTTTTAGTATCACGTACCTTACTACCCCAAAAGGCTAAGAGGGCCATCCAAGTTATCCCAAGTTGCCCAGAAGAGCTTCTGCATCCACCACCATATGTACCCCCGCAAGGACTAAGGGGAACTCCATCCTCATCATCCTCAGGGTCCATGTGGCATTTGGACCAGATGTCCCCTATGCTAAAATTTTCTAAAGATAGGGTGAGCCGGGGCCCAGCCATAACTCAACAAGATGTCCAGGATCAATGGACCCAAGCTGGACCTTCGCCAAAAGGAGTTGAAGGGAGCCCTGGGGATGAGGCAGAAGAGGAGCAGGCAAGGCCACAAACAGAGGACAGGGAATTAGAGGAGCCGATAGCCGAATGAGCAAGGGCAAAGACCGAGCAAGCGTCTCTGAACGCCCCCCTTAGACAGGTTGATCAATTGGTTGTCAGTAAGGACAATCCAGCAGACACAGCTACAGCTCCTCTATTCCAACATGTGCCTTTTATTATATCAGACCTTCTTAATTGGAAATTCCATTATGGCCCCTTTAGTGAGAAACCACACAAAGTGACAGATTTGGTGAAGACCATTGTGGACACCCACAACCTACCTGGATGGATATGCAGCAGCTCATGGGGACTTTGTTTAATCCTGAGGAAAGGGAAAAGATTAGGATCGCCATGACAAAGATAGTGAAGCCCTCCCAACCAGTGACTCGTACTCTTGAAGAGCACGTTGACCACGAATTCCCTTCCAAAGACCCCTCATGGAATCCCTATTATGACCTCCAGGATCTGCAGGCTTATCAACAGTTAGTGGTGAAGGCAGTTCATGCAGCAGGGAAACCGTCTGTTAATATGTCCAAACCATCCTTGGTGGTGCAAGAAGCCACCGAGAGCCTGGAAGCATTTTATGCTCAGCTGCTTGAAGCCTACCAAATGTATACTCCTATTGATCCAACAGAGCCCGTCAATGCTTGAATGCTTGCTATGGCCTTTATCTCACAAAGTGTCCCTGATATCTGTAGAAATTTGCAAAGATTGGAGGGAGCCCTGGGAAAGTCTATGAGTGAACTGATGGAAGTGGCCCGAAAGACTTTTGTTAATAGGGAAAAGGAGGAGGAGAGGAAGAAGGATCAGAAAATGCAGAGAAAGGCTGAATTGCTGGCTATGATGGGGGTGCCAAAAGGAAGGGGAGGTGGCAGAAGTAGGGGATATGGAATGACTTTAGGACAAAATCAGTGTGCCATATGTAAAAAGGAAGGGCACTGGAAGGGTGAATGTCCAGAAAGGGATAAGGATGAAGCATAAGGAGGGGAAAGAGACAGGTTTGCAAGAATCTACAGAGGTGGCCAGGGAGAAGCCAGGGAGGGAGAGGAAGAAGAGAAGGATTTTCAAGAACTCCCCTCATAGGTCTGGCAGAAGTGGAGGAATGGGACTGAGACTGACTGGGTTCAGCCCGCCTCCCGGAAGCTGTGGTCAGTCTAACAGTAGGAGGCAAACCTGTTCCCTTCCTTGTGGATAATGGAGCCACCCAATCAGTCCTAACTCAACCCCTGAGTCAAGCTTCCCCCCACTCTATCAATATACAAGGAGCAACAGGAAGAATATTGCAGCGACCATTTTTGGATCCCTTAAGTTGCACTATGGGAGGAAGAACCATAACTCATCAGTTTGTATATATGCCAGACTGTCTCATCCCTTTATTGGGAAGGAATCTGCTATGTAAACTAAGAGCGCAGATCTCCTTTGAAAAAGATGGCGCCATGGCAATGAAATATGGAAAAGTAATGATGGAAGTACCCCGTGAAGAGGAATGGAGAATGGTGATGCTGGCATGAACGGTAGGGCAGAATGCCAGATGGGAGGAATTTGTCATACCATACCTGTGGGCAGAAGACAACCCCCTTGGTTTTGCCTGGCATCATCCCCCAATCATAGTAGAAGAAATTTCATCAAAATTGCCAATTAGAATCAGGCAATGCACATATTCTAGACCCGTGGCACAAGCTATCCAGGATGCGATAGACTTATATTTAGCCCATCACATTCTAATCCCCACAGAATCAAAATGGAATACTCCAATCTTACCAATACCGAAGGGAGAAGGTAAATACCGCCCCGTACAGGACCTCTGTGTCGTCAATGAGGCCACAGTCACAATACATCCGGTGGTACCAAACCCCTACATTATTTTAGGACTAATTCCCCAAATGGCTAAGTGGTTCTCAGTGATAGATCTAAAAGATGCTTTCTTCATAATACCTATACATGAGGAGAGCCACCACTTGTTTGCTTTTGAGTGGGAAAATCCAGTGTCAGGAAGAAAACACCAGTATTGCCTCAGGGATTTAAGAACTCTCCAACCCTTTTTGGAGCTGCATTGGGAAAAGATTTGGAGGACCTGGACATCCCTTACCCAGATGTTGTGTTGCAGTATGTTGATGATTTATTAGTCACAGGCCAGACGGAATATAACTGTTGACAGAATACCTATGAGTTGCTTCACCTCCTACAAGACTGGGGTTACAAGGCATCCCGGAAGAAAGCACAATTGGTAGCGATGAAGGTTAGATATTTGGGATATGACATAGAGGAAGGAAAGAGAATGCTCTGACATGAAAGGAAGGGGGCCATGTGCCAGCTGCCTGTACCAAAGAATAGGAAAGAGTTAAGAGGATTTTTGGGTGCTTCTGGCTTTTGCTGAATATGGATCCCTAATTATAGTTTAATAGCAAAACCCCTGTATGAGGCAACAAAGGGGGGTGTTAAAGATGGGAAAAGCAGGAAAATAATAGTTTCACTGCTCTCAAGGAGGCCTTAATGCGTGCCCCTAGTTTAGGGCTACCGGATTTGGAAAAGCCATTTCAGCCATACAAAGCAAAATGTGGCAGTAGGAATTCTCACCCAGAAAGTAGGGACCTGGCATCGACCTGTCGCTTATCTGTCTAAACAGCTTGATAATGTAGCAAAGGGTTGGCCTGCTTGCCTTAAAGTGATTGCTGGAACAGCATTGTTAACACAGGAAGCTAATAAATTAATTTTTGGGCAGGAACTAGATATTTATATGCCACATGCCCTCAAAGCTGTTTTGGAAGCAAAAGGACATTTGTGGCTGACCAACCCACGCATGTTAAAGTATCAAGCTCTGATAACACATAACCCAATGATTACATTAACACAATCAAATACACTGAATCCAGCCACATTACTGCCTGAACCAGACTTGGAAACCACACATAGTTGCATACAAGCCATCGAAGAGACTTATGCTAGCCGCCCGAATATGAAGGACGTTCCCCTTCCTAATCCAGATTTTACAATATATACAGATGGAGCTAGTTTTATGCAAGGAGGAACTCGGAAGGCAGGATATGCTGTGGTGACTTTGGAGGATGTCTGGGAAGCTGAGCCCCTCCCCACAGGCACAAGTGCTCAGCTGTCTGAATTGCATGCATTAACTAGAGCCCTGGAGCTGGCGAAAGGAAAATGCGTTAACATTTATACTGACTCCAAATACGCATTTCTGACAGTGCAAGTCCATGGAGTACTATATAAAGAAAGAGGTCTTATAACTGCAGGAGGAAAGGACATTAAGTATGGATCTCAGATATTGTGTCTACTGGACAGCGTGTGGGCACCCAGAAAAGTGTCTGTGATTCACTGTAAGGGGCATCAGAAGGGAGTCTCAGAAATTCAGCAAGGAAATAATAAGGCAGACCGGGAAGCTCGTATGGCAGCTCAAAAGACATTAGCCATGCAGGCAAACTATCTAGCTGTGTGGGTCCCAAAAGAGCAAGATCAAGTTAAACCAAACTACTCCCTGGAAGACTTGAAGCAAGTTTAGGTGCTCAAAGCACAGCAGGAAGATAGATGGTGGATCCTACCGGACCAATGAGTCTTTATTCCAGCACATATGGCATGAGATGTAGTGCAACAGATTCATAAGCAACTACACCTGGGGAAAACTGCATTAGCACATGCCTTGCAGTAGGAGGTCTATATTGACAAAATACACAGCATCGCAGCAAATGTTTATGCTAGGTGTGAGATTTGTGCAGCCAACAACCCCCGGCAAGGACCCCAACTGCCTCAAGGACAC